ATCAATACATATTTTAAAAGTATCATATTACATTAAATTCGCATATGAAAATTCATAGGAGTGTATTATAGATATAATTCAATTAGTTTTTATAAAAGAATAAATAAGGAAAAGAAATTGAATTAGAAGATATGAAGCAGAAATCATGATAATCATTATTAGCCTCTTAATACTCAATAAAATATGTAGTATGTTCACTAAAAGTACACTATTGCTCATTTAGCGGAATCCGTGATTTTTCACTTAAATTACAAAAATACCAACGAATTTTTTTGGTGTGTATTAATGATTGGGTTGTCTTTCTTACTTGGGCCGGGTGTACGTACGCCCGGATGCACCGTATACGCGCGTCATAGGTAAGAGCCCACGTTTTTCATTAAAAAGATTTGTGGCCGGGGTTTTTGAGCCCTGACAAATTTCATATGTATGTGTACGGTGAGCCATCTCAACTACTACGTATTTGGTTAATGTTAAAACACTATCATTTTGTATTTTTATATGGAGTATCATACAACTATCGATATACTACCTCCGTCCCACTATTATTGTCCCGTTTAACCTTATTGGTCATCCCACTAAGATTGTTTCATACCAAATTTGGCAAAATTTGTGTGGCTCTAAATCATTCTTACTGTTATTCTTACTTTATCAATTCAATATCAATCACATAAACAACTTTTTATTGATTTGCGTGTCACTCCCTCTTATCTCATTGTTAGTGGGACGGAAGAAGTAATCAATAAGATTTTTGGCCCAATACAAGTGAAATAGCAATCGAACTTTTCCAGCCTTTTGTCATTCGGGATCTAATAAGAAAACGTTTTTTCAATTTCGCCGGTTGATTTAGCAATAGAAAAATAGAAAATAAGAATTATTAGGCCTACAGTCATTGATATTAATTGATAATCATAATAAATACAGTACTATTTTTTGGGTATTGCACGCCATTATTAAATTAATAAACTATTAGCTTATTTGGGCGTTTTCAATTCCCGTTTCCAAATCGAGCTGGAACGTTCTTTTCCAAAATTAGAAATTGCTCTGAATAGGAGTAAAAACGTTTTGAAATTCCAAAATAGGAGTATCATATTTTTTATTACTTGAATAGGAGTAATCTGCCAAGTTTGGGAAAAATGTCATGTTTTAAAAAGCCTAGTAATGCCAAACTTGGCAGAAATTTACTCCTATTTAAGGAATAAAAAACATCATACTCCTATTTTGGAATTTCAAAACTTTTTTACTCCTATTTATGAAATTCTCTCTTCCAAAATTCATCCACGCACGCACCCATATGATATGCCTTTTTCTATAATTCATTAAGAGAAATTTAATTAGTATATTCATTAAATAATACTCCAATGCAACAGACTCGGATTCAATAATGGAATGATGAACGGTCTAATTTTATGTTTGATTATTCTATTTTGTTTTATTAAATATAGAGTAATAATCTTCCTATTGCTTATATTTTGCAATTCTTATCTTATCCTTTTTTGGGGTTTTTTTTATTCGGAGTTTGAATGCTTTAGTACATAGATAATTATATTTGGATGATTTGTAATGATTGAACTTGGCAAATCACCAAGTCCAGATATTAGGTTATTGGTCTGTTAATTTATAATTAAGTTTAACAAATAAATGAAGTGTATTTTGATATAAACTATTATTGTAGCAATTTATTACAAATATAATCTTCACCTATATTATATTTCTCTATTTTAGAAAAGACCCAATTTTTATTTTAACACAGAGCCCATGTTTTATCAGGACGGACCTCTATGTAGTAGTCCAAAACTATATAAGGAATGTCAGTTTTAATGAAAAACAAAAAGGCCATCCCGAAATGGTACCATTCTGCCTAAGTTTACAAATGAATATTAATACATCAATAATACACACAATTAATATGAATTCATAAGTAAAGGTTCTAATTTGATATGAAGTTCTAAGATGACCTACAAGAGCTATTAGTAAAAATGAATTTCAATTATATTTAAAATTTAAAATCACACTTTGGTGATAAGATCAAATGTTTACCTCATTATATGCTTTCCCACCATTTCATTTGCGGGTTAAATCCCAATATTTCTTTTGTACTCTTTGTTCTACATATGTATGATACGCCTGCTGATTACCGGTTTATGCAAATAAGGCCGATGCATTATTTCGTTCCAGATTTATGGGTAACATTCTACTACTATTCTTGTTCAATAATTTTTAATCGATGTAATTAATCTTCCATTCTATAGCTTTGCCCAAGACACCAAAACCAACAGTAAATAGGGGCTAGGGAATTTATCAATAGGGGAAAAGCAAAAATTGCTATGAACCAACTAGAGTTGGACTCGGGCCGGGCCGCCGGTTCTGAATAGATGGGCCCGGGTCCGGTCCGGGCCAGGCCTGGCCAGGTTGGACGTATTATCAATTTTTTTCCCTCTTCCTAATTAACCCTCCTCCCACCCCCAACCCCCCACACAAACCACCCCAAATGGTCCAAAATACCCAGTCCAACTCGAAAATTTAAAAAAACCCGAACCGGGCCTTGTTTTGGGTGACCCGAGCCCGGACCGGAATACCCACGGGTCAGGCCTACCCGGACCGGTTACTGACCGGGCCACCGGGTCGGACCAGGCCCGAACAGTACCGGTCCCGGGCCAGTTCCGGGTCCGGCCACCCGGCCTGAGTCCACCCATAGAACCAACCTTATAATTCCTCTTAATGACACCTACTACTGCTAGTAAGATTTTTTCATTTTTAGTAAACACATGCGGTTTTTATATGGTTCAGATAACTCTTCTACACATTATGAAGGACAAAGGTGATCTGATAGAAACACATTCTACTTTCTTTTGGCAAAAGAAACACATTCTACTTTAAAGCTGTTTTTTTTTATTTGTATATCCATCTGTCAATTTGTGCTTGTTCGAAATTTTTTGGAGAGGAATGATACCTAAAACACACTATTGCTTTTACAAATTAGCAATGTAATATATAAAATGTAATCACTCTTGTCTAGTTTTTCTCATTTTTTGCAGTCTTAAAATGTTATTCCAATTTCTTTTTATGATAAAGACTGAGGTTGATATTACATCTTTTTTTTATGTAAACCTTAGGCACACAACTTTACTTTATTCACAACTGTGGCAAGTTGAAGTGATAATAAACCATCAGTTTTTTTAGTTAATAGAAAAACACACATTTTATTAATACAAAAAAAGTACACGTGGAGTGGGGTATAGTGCCAACCCCCAGGGGTTCTCTACCCCCATGGGTACAAATATGGTTGGACACGGGTCAGGCCACCCGGCCCGTGGACCGGCCCGGCCCGCTACTGTGCGGGACCGGGACCGGCCGGGTTCTCGGGTCCGGGTCCAGGTCGGGCCTAGGCCCGGGGGGTAGGGCGGGTCTAGGCTCGGGTCTCAAATTTGGTGAACCGGCCCGGGCAAAATTGAATTTTTTATATTTTTTTTTTCATTTTTGGGGTTCCACCCGGGTTGGGCTTGATGGGTAGGATGGGTTTGGGGAGTTTGGGAGGGTGGGGGTGAGGGAGGGGGGGGGGGGGGGGGGGTTGGGAAAGAAAAAAAATCCAAACCGGAGGCCCGTCCCAGGCCCAGCCAAGACCTGAGTCCACCCCTAAGTACAAAAAAAAGGTGCAAGGAACCAAAACAAATAAGATATTACACAACTAAAATACAAGTGAAAACAATAGGCAAAAACTGATTCAAAAATAGAAGGCTGCCAACTAAAAGAGAAGGTCATTGTGTACAACATCTTGAAAGAGAAGGTCATTATGTAAGGCTCTAATTATGTAGTGGTAAGCATTTTGAAAGGTCTGAAATATCGAGTCATTCATTTAAAAGAAAAAAAAACATTTTACTTGTATACATGATTATAACATACATATTCAGGGAATGAGAGCAGTGCTTGATGCTGCATCTACACTGATACTCATTTTGATGTGTGTGTATAACAATTAAAAAACTCAATTAAAAAGGACATTAGGAAATGGTCATGATGTGTGTATACACTGATACTCATTTTGATTCAATAGATTTGCATATTTGGATTAATTAATTATTTAATTATTTCCAAACAAAGCAGCCGTTATTTTTCCTATGCAACATTTCTATTTGTCTATTTAATTTGCCTACAGATAGATCAAGGCAAGTCATGATAGTACATAATGTGCTTATTACTTTTTAAGTTTTAACTTCACAATATCACTTGAAATTAAAAAAATATCATCTTCTTACTCTGTCCGTCAATGCTAAACTTAATAAAAGATTGAATCTACAAGACTGAGCCATCAAATTTACAAACAATCAACATTCAAATGAATGAATTAGTTTCATTGTATGTTCTCCTTTGTGTGGGCATCAGTTTTGATGACCCAATTTTGTATCCAGCTCGAATATGGTGAAGTTCCACTGTACTTGATACTAAATGCTCCCCAAGTTAAAAACATTAGCAAAAATCAGAAATGGATCAAAGACATTTCAAATTGGTAATTGCACAAATAAACTTCATTAATATATTAAATACATGATCAGGAGTGGTCCGTGAGAATGCCTTGCAATGCCAAGTCATTGTATAGGTTTCAAAGGTTTGTAATGATGCTCACAAGCCTGAGATTAATATCACTCGGAAAAAAACTAAGCATTCCAGTCCAGCTGGTTATGAGGTTACCGTGCCTAGTGAGAGGTCACGAGTTCGAAACCAGCTAGACACATAAGGGTTTGAAACTCAATGGAGTGAGTTTCGACCCTGATTAAAAAAAAATATCACTCGGAAAATGATATAAGAAAAATATCAATTCTAAACCTAATATCGAATTTCACTGAGATTGAAAATGTAGCAGTCAATTAAAAAATCATATCACTTTTTCTAACACATGAATATACGGTAGTATTAATTTTAAAGAATTAAATTCACCATGAACTACAATAAACACACAAATGGAAAGAGTAAAAGACGGATCTTATGTACCCATACATGAGAATGGCACTATAATTGTATGTTTTATTAGCATTAATTTGACAGAGTGCATTTGAACATAGTTCAATAGTGCTATCCACATAGCAAATAAGTAGATAAGTAGAACACTATATTCTAAAGTTGGATGCAGAATTTAAGTAACCTGTGAAACATATTTTCTAAACTGGCAACAAAAAATGGAAAATAACAGAACAAGGATATGTGATAACATATATGGAAAAGCGTATGAAATAGAAGTATTCACCGGGAGTGGACCAAGCTAATGAAATTTACTGTGTGAGGCAGCCGATGAATTGAGAAACTTTTGGAAACATTCCATCTCAAGATATTTACAATAGAAATAGAAGGAAAGCATGTGATTCTGCCACTCTCCACCATCCATAATTGACGCAGCAGAGGAGCTGCAAACAATGAAGTGGGGGAAACTATTGTTTGCTACACCCTTCTTCTTTATCCCCAAACAGAACGGAATAATGTGTGATGTACCGGCCTGGAGCAGTATGGGTTATGCCGAAGGTACGGAATGGAAGGAGAGCAGACCCTTGATTTAACAATAGCAAAGAGTAAGAAAGACGAAGGGAAAACGAAGTTAAGAGATGGAACGGATGGAAAACGAAGGATGTGTTACCTGAAGCTCACTAAACCGTAAACTAATACTTCCTCCGTTTCACAATCTTTTACACACTTTCCTTTTTTGGCTGTTTCACAATCAATGACACACTTCATTATTTCCTTATTTGGTAAACAAATCTTTACCAAAACAGTGCAAAACAGTGCCAAACAGTGTTCAAACAGTGCCAAACAGTGTACTCTACAGTAAAATTTACCTCTCAGTAACATTTTTTTCTTAATCCTTGACAAGTCAAACTGTGTCAAAGATTGTGAAACGGAGGGAGTAAATAATTAAGCTATATCATATTACCTCCGTCCCGCTGAAAGTAGGGGTGAGTTCGGTTCTATCGGTTCGGTTTTGACCTAAAACCAAATACGGAACCAAAGTAAAAGTTCGGTTCAGTTTCGATTCGGTTTTACACTCCAAAACTTCAAACCACTGTTTGATTGGTTCGGTTTGTTTCGGTTCGGTTTCGATTTTTTCGATTTTTTACTAAATATATGTCATTTAATGTAAAATTGATATAAAAGTTGGAGGGATCAAACATATTACATAAAAATGCAAACATACTTGAACAAATGAAGAAAATAATAATAAACAAATATGTTTTGAATTATATGAGTATGCGGGAGAGATAAAAGTGTGTATCTATTCTTAATTTACAATGTTTGTGACTAGTTTGAAAAACGTTTATGAATACATACGTCCTGTGTGATTTAGCTGAGATGAATATTTATTTGTTTTATCAATATAAAAAAGTTATGTTACAAAAAAGAGTTAAGTTACATAAAAATAAAAGTTAATTACTACTAATAACTAGTAAAAACATATAATCATGCAACAAATTGCAACATACATACATAAAAGACATAATAGATCAATATAGCTACATTATTATGGCCAATGAATGTGTAAATGCATTTAAAAACTAAACTAAACATAGCATAAACATTATTTCTCTAGCACAAGAAATTCAAAGATTATTGATGATATTAAGAATTTAAGATTAATGCTTACATTTAACAATTAAAATTTCATATTTTATTTATGTTCAGTTTGTTCGGTTCGGTTTTGAAGGGTAAAAACCAAAACCGAACCAAACTACTACAATTCAGTTCGGTTTTTTACATTCAGTTTCGGTTTTTAGCGGTTCGGTTTTATTTGGTCGCGGTTCTGTTAAATTTGATTCGGTTTTCGATTTTCGGTTTTTTGGACCCAGCCCTAGTTGAAAGGTTTCCATGGTAAAACGGCACAGTTATTTAGACAATAATTAAATAAGGTAATTCGAGTATATTTTGAGAAAATAATTTTAATAGGTATATACTATAAATCTATAATGATGTTAGTGTTAATAACTGTGAGGTTATAAATGTATTATTTTTAATATTTAATGATTAAATTCCATTTAAGATTGTTAATTGTTCTCCTAAAATAGAAATGAGAACCTTTATATGGGACATTCAGAAAAAGGAAAGTATGAGCATTTCTATGGGACAGAGGGAGTATAACTCTAGGAAATTTTCAAACCGTAAGACTATAGCTCAGTACAAGATACTACGTAGTATAAATATTAAGAAGAAGAAGTTTAAAGCCTGAAATTTTAAATAATTAAAAAGTTCAAATAATTAAAAATTTAATACACAATAAAAACTAAAGTAAATTCGGTGGGATAATTACTTGAAGAGCCGCTCCTGAAGTCTCTATTTTGGTCGTGAATCTCGTAGGAGCTAGGAATAGTGGAAGGTGACTAAGAACCGATGACTTTGACAAAGATGGCAGATGGGTGAAGTATTGAAGTGAAGTCTTGAATGTTTACTAACAAGTATTTCGGATTCTGGGTTTTAGAGTTTTAGGGGGGAATTTGTTGACAAAAATTAAATTCAGGGACCAGGCTTTTAAAAATCAGCCTAACTTGTGGTGAAGTTGAAGTGTACGCGTCACCAACGCCTTGTGCCCACCGCCCTTCGCCTCTACGCTTCAGCGCCTTAGCAAAATGAAGAAGTAAGCCTAGTTACTTGATAAAACTCACGCAGGTATGTAGTAATGTAGTATTACAGAAAGATGAAAAATAGTATTCAAGAAACAATCTCAAGCTTTCAATAATGGAGGAAGAGAGTACACGAGTTCCCAAAGAAAAATCTTCCCAGTCCCAAATAACTGTCTAACCGCCTACCCCTTATTACACACTCCCCTACTATTTATACTATTATAGCTAGTATTCTTCTTATTTACTACTAGTATTATTCTACTTGGGTCCCTGTCATTACTTGGGGGCAAAGATTAAGCCTTATAGGCATTTCAACGATGACTTTGCGCCTCAAAGGCAGATGGCAGATGACTTGAAGGCCTTTGAAAACCATGCTTTTATATATCTATAACTATGAGTCATAACACCACAAAAGCACTTTTAAGCTTTGCTTGCATAATTTGAACACAAGCCCACTTTGAAAGCCTTCATATAAAGTCATTATTAGACAACTTTTAGGGCATATACTTGTGTTTATTTTTAAAAATCAGGTCACAAAATCCTTGTAATCTGAAGAACGTATCAGTGTAGTATGAAAGATGGTATCTTACATACACAGATTATATAGATCTCTAGAAACCCAACTATAAGTGTGGGGGGTCTACATTCTACTAGTTGGAACTATATGGATCACATTTCCGATCTTCCCCTGAAAAGTTAAATATATTTCAGCATTTATACTACAATCACACCATACCCAAGACAAGGTTCCACACATCTTACAATATCTGGATAATAACAATGCATCGTAAAAAGAAGATAAAAAGAAGATAAAATTTCAACCATTGAATACAATATACTATGCCAGATCAATGAAACGAGCATAAACCACAAATATACCTTTGATTTCAATTGGCAATCCATCACCAACCAGCAACATTTGTAAGGATATAGGTTAGTAGCCAATGTCGCCAGGATCTCCAGTATATTCTGCGATTTGCTCAAGCCGCACATTAAGCAGCTCATGTGTATCTGCATTTCGGACAACACCTGTCTCTGTCTCACTATCTCTCTCCACAAGGCTTCCAAACACACCCTTATTCCTTCCATACAAAACAAGGACAGGACCGCCACGTTTTGGGAGGGCGGTCTCAAGCTGGTCCTGATTCACACCTTGGATCAACTCCCGACTGTCATCCACTGATATATCACACATTGATGGTCCGACCACATCCAGGACTTCTCCTTTCTTCAAATATAACTCCCCCCCTTTCAAATCCTTACTTATAATCCTAACTCTTATATGACTGGTTAGCCAAGAAATTTGTTCAGCTCTCTTTCCATTTGACTCGTCTCTACTTCGTTTGTTCTCCTTTCTCCTGTCTGTTGGTCTATCATCCCTAACTTTCCTATCCCTCCTAGGTTCTTCCCTTGGTTCACTGCGATGTCTAATGCGTGATGAATCTTCATTGCTTTCTTGAATCTTAAGTTCCTTCAACTTCCTCATACATTTCGCCTCTTCAACAGAACCAAACTCAGCAACATCAGAAGCTTGAACAATCACCTCCCTGTCATCATTGGAAAGCCTTATAACCACATTCCCATTGCTTTTCACCTTCAGTACCTTTCCCTTCATCCCCATTTCCCTACCTCCAACTATCCTCACGTGCTTACCCAAAAACAGTTCTTTATCATCTTTTTCCCTTCGTAATTCCTTCCCATTTGGATTTTTGGTATCTCTCTTTTCATCACTGCCATTCTTCTGGGCTTTATTACCCCCGTCAGTCTGTGGTAATGCAGCAGCAAAACCAATCCCTTCCTTTGCGGACCATTTTTTGACTTCTACCACTTTCACATCCTCTTTCGCATTCCGGCCAACACCTCTGCCTTCATACCAACCATACCCCTTGAGCAAAGCTGTTGCAAAGTTCTCCACGGGCATTTCATCATACACATCCATACTATTACCATCAGGAAGCCTCTTCAGATCCTCTTTTAGTCTACGTAACGTGTAGTCAGGATTAGGGTTTTGTGGCCCGTCCGAGTTCACATCATCGGCACTTTTTCCGATCGACTTGCGGATATTTAAGCCGTAGGACACAGATTCAGATGAGGGTTCAACAGATGAGCCGGTGTCTACCTCGAATAGCAACGGCTGATCGTCGGCCGATCTGAGTGAAGGTAGGTCGAGATTCTTCATCCGTTTGCGAGGCTCCCATTCGTTTGCAATGGGAGGGATTACAACATTGGAGTAAGAGTCTGCTTTGGCCGGAGCTTTTGAGGAATCGAACTCCGTCACGAACTCTTTGGCGGTGGACGCTGCAACTTCTCGGTCTTCAACAATGATGGACTGGGATGGTTTCTTTACGCTTGAAGATGGCTTTGATGGGAGAGTAAAAGAGAGCTTCATCGTGCGTGAGAGTACACAGTTGACACTACAGAGCCTGTTGATCTGCGAGTTAAGGAAGCTCTTTCTGCAGAATTTAACCCACACAAAGCAATTTTAGGGAAGAATCGTATTATGGATGGGATTGAGATTTCAATAAAATGGTGTCAGTTAGGGCATAACGGGACAAAAAATACCATCAACAAATTTTCCTTTACAAGAATTTAATCTGTATTTGGAAGAAGGCATTAATTGATAGTTGATACCCCTCAACAAATTTTCCTTTACAAGAACTCTAGAGACCAGAAGCCATTTTAAGTATAGCTTTTTTTATAGTAAAACTTTGAGTTTTAGGATGTTTTCAGTTTTCACTCTTAGACGGTTGACCAGACCAGAACCGACTTAAAAAAGACAAAGCCAGATCAAATTTTAACAAACCAAATCAAATCATACCAGACTTCGATAGTGACCACACCAGATTAGAAAATCTCTATCCAATTAAAAACATCCATACTTCTCAAAGAAAATTAAGATTTATATTTTTCAAGGGAACCAGTTTTTACCCAAGACATGGAAAGAGACGTTTTTTTAACACCAGCAGAAGCCAAAGCTTATGAGCTTGTGGATGCTGTAAGGGTTTCTCTTGGGGCTCAGGGCTAGTCCTATAGAGTTTCTCACTCAAGATGGATTTCACTAAAACTAAAAAGTTTGATGTTCTATTTGATGTCCCAGGTGAATAGACATTTTATTCAATGGAAATAAAAGGAATTCAGCATCAGTCAGTTAGGATTAATCTAAACTAGTCCATTATATAATATAATAGATTCAAGAAGCCAACTATTAAACAACGTATTAGAAATAAAAGACAGCATATAAGAAATTTCACGAAATATCCCGCTCTTTGGAGATGTCCTCAGTGTCGAAAAACATGTACTAGGGTGTATGTGTGACTCGTTTACATTATAAGTTGATACACGAAAATTAAAAGTTATTTGTAAGTATGAAGGGATAGATATGGATGAAGGTTTGTCCAGCAAGAAGCAGATGGGTCAGGTGAATAAGTTACCTAATTACCCTCAGGTGTCATATACCCACTTTGACACCTCCAAACAGGGGCGGGGCCAGGACACTATAAAGGGGTGGGCTGGATTTGAACTAAAAAAATTCTCAAATATAAATTCAGCAATCAAATTAAGTTGAAATGCATCACAAAATTTACAACAAAAGTACTACAAATATGGTGCATCAAACATTCGAACTAAAAAGTCAATTACACTCTACGGTCTTTTACCTTTAGCACATTCATAACAAGTTCCCTCTCAATGAAAATTGTCAAATTGTCAAATCTAATTTCTGATTTGGAGGCAGAAATCATAACAAGTCCTACAACTACAACCTAAAAAGTAAAAAAAATTGAACGGATAAAACAAAGATTCTTAAACACGTAATAAACTTACGGTCTTACTCTTACACACTAGACATGACATATTCAATTTGTTAGCATTTAGCAGCACAATAGTCAATATTCATTGCTCAATAACACAAATCACGAACCATAATACCATATACAAATGAAAAATTAGTAAATTATTTAAGAAATTAGGGTTAGAAATAAAACCTTAAAAATTAAAATTGCAGTGATAATTGGAATTGGAAGAGGCCAAGAGGGTGGCGTCCCGGACTGGCGGCTGGTGCGCTGCGTGACCTGGGTCGGCGTCTCTGAATCGCCTGTGTCCCGGGCTGGCGACCTGAGTCCTGAACTCGGATCTCTTGAATCGAAAATTGAGATCGTCGACAACGTTGAGACTTTTGAGTGCTGAATGCCCGCCCGTATTAGTTGGCTCATGGCTGCCTGGGATTAAGAAGTTTAACAGCATTTGGGCTGTAGTTTTTTATGGTACTGGGCCTGGATTTTTTGTACACTGGGCTATCACTAATTCTCCCTTCCCCAGGAAATTCCCGCTTCTATCTCATAAGCCATGACGCCTTCATTATTTTTTTCTGGCCATTTCACTCACCGGAAGCAATGAACTCATTCACCAATCACCACCAGAAATCTCGCTCCGTAGATTTTCGCTTCATAGGTCGGCAATAAATTCATGCACTCCTTCCGTTTCTTTCACATTTCAGCATGGAAGAAAACTGAGCTCCCTACACAATCAGCAAATCAACATGAAAAATCTTCAATTGTCACTGTAGAATTAACTTGCTCCCGCAAATCCGGTCTTCCGGAGGTAATCAACGATTCAATTGCTCTTATTCTCTCGAATTGACCTACCCACTTGTGTTGTTCTATATGAAATCTAGTTCTTTAGTTTTTTCAGCCTTTAATTTCATTTAGTTCTACAGAAATGACCTTTTCTTCTAAAATACTCCGTAACAGATTTAAGTTGATTCTTCAAATCTAATTTGAATCCTTTGTATTCACAGTTCTTCACTTGGAAGATGAGCACTTCATATCAAAGGTTCGAATTATGGGTCGTAGATTTTATGGATATGCACAATAATATTAAATTACTTCAATTTCATGTATATTACTTTTCGTAAAGTCGTTTAACCGATCATTTGGCAAAGATGCTTTGGATTTAGCTGATTATGTGGGTTTGCTGCTTTCTGTTTATGGATATATACATTCCCTCCTTATTTTGTGTAGGCTTATAAGTTATAATACGTTTTCCCATTCTACCATATGCCTCATTTTTTAAGCACCGTGGCTAAGAAAATGCCGCCACCATGGCCTTTTCTCTAGCACATTTGGCAATGAACATCACTGGGACATTTTAACACAATGTAATATCTCTTTTTTAATTTTCCATATCTCCACATTTACGATCACCAGCTTACTAACCATTATTTCAAATTTCATCTTGGCAAAAACTATTTTCATCTTGCCAGAAGGATGGCGAATCCGGGAGATAAACCAAGGCAAGGAGATAATTTACCCCACATTATGAACAAATTAGCGGGGCTTATTCACAGAAGCTGAAAATGTGTGTGGAACTTCATTTCAGAGGGTATCATGCTTGGTATGACAAAATAATCAGTATTGGTCCCCCGGTTTATTCATATCTAGCGATTTTAGTCCGTCGTGCCTGTTATTGTTCACTATGATTTAAAACATCGGCAAGTTACGATGCATTGAGACGAATGTTATTGTTCACGTTGATTTAAAACATGGGTAAGTTGATATTTTACCCCTCTTAATGAATGGATTCGCAGGACTTATTTAGTTAGTATTCACAGAAACTTAAACTGCTATTTGGAATTTGGAATTTTTTATTAAAGGATATTATGCCTGGTGTGAGTCAAATGTTATTGTTCACGGGAATTTAAAATATAGGAACCAAGGCAAGATGATAATTTACCCCACATTATGAATGGATTAGCAACACTAATTCACATAAACTGAAATTTTTCTAGCTTGCATCTCCTTCTATTGTACTCTAATATGATATAATGAAAAAACGGATTTTTAATTACATATGGAGTAGATGTGTTTAAGAAAGTAACTCAGTTATGATTGATCTCCTAGGAACATGAAAGCTAGAAGTGATTCCGTAGTACATAAAATGTCATCGTCTTAAAATATGGGTTGATTATAATAATGTCTTTGAAGCGAAGTAATCATGAAAGCTATCTTAATAGTTGTGATTGATCTCCTAGGAACATTCTACTTTGGGCATTCTCAAGAGAAATCTATAATTTGTGCAATAGGCCGGAATTTTCAAAGCATGTTTTTGGGTAGATTTTGACTGGGTTTAGAGTTATTTTTGGCAGTTCAGAACATGTCTTAAGACTGAATTTCTACATGATTTTATCAAACTTCAATTGAGTCCTCTTCCATTTGTGATGGTTAGTGACTTAGTGCTCTTTTATTGCATTTCATGTTGGATAGTTTTCCTGTTGCATGTGGATCAAATATAAGATAATTCACCAACAACAAGAGTCTTGATGAGTGGCCTTCAGAGCATCAACTCAGAACTTCATAATTTGCATGAGCCGTAACTCATAAAGTAAGTTCGGCACCTCAAATCTTCGAATGATTGCATGACGCATTGCTATCTTCACTTCTGAAACTTCAAGATTATCGTGACTTCTGTATTTGCGTAACGGCCAGTCTGGATTGTGTGTTAGCAGCCTAGCAGGTGTTTGTAATGAAAGCGTGTTTAGTTTAATACTTTATACCCAACGTTCTTCCCCTTCTTCTTCCGCAGCGGGCAGAGAGCCTGTTCTCCTACTTCACCTCTTGGGACTCTTCATCCAGCAGAGACTGTTCTTCTCCAGGTTTGTCCTCTCTTTTTCTCACTTCTTCTATGGACTGTTGTTAAATTTTGGGTCTGTTATTATACCGTTCTTCTATTATTTGATTATTTTCCCTAAGTTTAATAACAATTAAATACAAATAAAACAAAACAAAGTTAATTGTGTCATTGTGTGCTGAAACTATGGAGAAATTAAAAACTAAGGACTCTTCAAACTAAATATTTAAAAGAGCCAAAAGGCCACTCATCAAGACTCTTGTTGTTGGTGAATCATCTTATATTATATTTGCTCCACATGCAACAGGAAAACTATCCAACATGAAATGCAATAAAAGAGCACTATCCATCACAAATGGAAGAGGACTCAATTGAAGTTTGATAAAATCGTGTAGAAATTCAGTCTTAAGACATGTTCTGAACCGCCAAAAATAACTCTAAACCCAGTCAAAATCTCCCCAAAAATATGCTTTGAAAATTATAGATTTCTCTTAAGAATGCCCAACGTAGAATGTTCCTAGGAGATCAATCACAACTATTAAGATAGCTTTCATGATTACTTCGCTTCAAAGAAATTATTATAATCAACCCATATTTTAAGACGATGACATTTTATGTACTACGGAATCACTTCTAGTGAATTTTTAAATTTCATAACTGAGTTACTTTCTTAAACAAATCTACTCCATATGTAATTAAAAATCCGCTTTTTCATTATATCATATTAGAGTACAATAGAAGGAGATGCAAGCTAGAAAAATTTCAGTTTATGTGAATTAGTGTTGCTGATCCATTCATAATGTGGGGTAAATTATCATCTTGCCTTGGTTCCTATATTTTAAATTCTCGTGAACAATAACATTTGACTCACACCAGGCACAATATCCTTTTATAAAAAATTCCAAATTCCAAATACCAGTTTAAGTTTCTGTGACTACTAACTAAATAAGTCCTGCGAATCCATTCATTAAGAAGGGTAAAATATCAACTTGCCCATGTTTTAAATCAACGTGAACAATAACATTCGTCTCAATGCATCGTAACTTGCCGATGTTTTAAATCATAGTGAACAATAACAGGCATGACGGACTAAAATCGGGGGACCAATACCGTTTATTTTGTCATACCAAGCATGATACCCTCTGAAATGAAGTTCCACACACATTTACAGCTTCTTCTGTGAGTAAGTCCCGCTAATTTGTTCATAATGTAGGGTAAATTATCTCCTCTATATCCTCTATTAATTTGACACTGCAAGACATATCATCTAGATAGGGGATAACAATTCAAAACAAAGAAAACAGATGATCATTACTTAGTAAAATAATACTCATCAAATATAATGAACGTGTTATTTGAAAAATTATCTCCACAACTAGACATAGCATCGATTCTTGGATAAAAAAATGGTGCAACATAAAACATTTGAACTGAATGAAAACAATGATTTTGTTCCAACGACAGAAGAAAATAACCTAAGAACAATTACTTACTTACAACTTCAGTGGACCAAAATAAATGCAAAAAACCTAAACCTGTGCAAGAACAAACGGAAATAAATGATAAAGATGAGGAAGTAAGTACATAAACTAAGATCGAAGATGGAAACAACAAAGAAGAAAAATTGATTAAGACAATAAGATATTGTAGTTTTCAAAAGTGGAGAAAATATGAAGCAAAATAAAGATTGAATGCCGTAGAGAAGAAATATTACTCGCATCGATGACCAAACGGAATCTTCAGCTCGAAAGATTGAATGCGGTAGAGAAGAAAGAGACGAACGGAAAAAACCTAGGAGAAGAGGACGGACCAGCGCCGCCGAAGAGGACGGACTAGCAAGGATGAACAGGACGAACCAACGCGAACGAAGAGGATGGACCAACAAGGACGAAGATCAGATTAAACAAGAAGGCTCAAAGTTGCGGTTAATTTAAAAAAAATGGTTGTACCATGAGAATGGTACAGCCGGCTGTACCATGTAATTTACCCACATATACGCAATTTCAATTACATTCAACGATTAGGAGCATATCAAATACTCAATCAATCTTGAGGAAGCGGTCCAGCCTAGCTGGTCGTCGACACACTCTCCCTTACGGGAGGTCTCGGGATCGAAACTCAATGGGGTGAGTTTCAGCCTAGATTACTCCAGGCTCCTCCAGCCTTCCTCTCCCAGACGCCCCCTGGGGTAAAAAAAACAAAAAGAAAATACTCAATCAATCTCATCATTTTACGTGTCTTACTTTTCTAATTTTTTGATTTTCCAAAAACAAGTGTTATGTTTTCTTTTTAGAAAGACAAATGTGATTCACACGATTTCATTTTGTTATATTCAAATCTCATTTGCAACTGTTACTTTTTGAATTACTTTATTAATAATTGTGTCAACCTAAAACAAAGCACATAAAATAAGATGAGAGTAGTATTATTTTGGTGAACTAATTAAACATTCTTTTGAAATAATTTTTCACACACATAACACACAATCAAGCAAGTCACAAGTCATAAGATTTGATATATATATATATATATATATATATATATATACACATACATATATATATACATACATATATATATACATACATATAGAGAGAGAGATAATCATCTTCAAACAAGTGCAATGACTCACTAAGTTCAAAATGGACAACTTCAGTTTCAATCTATAGTGACCAAATCGATGTTCATATCATTTAACCTATTAAACTCATACCTCCTACAAATAACCAAAATATAATACACCTCAAAATATATCCCTAGTGAAAAAACCTACAATCAACAATAGTAAAGTCTGACAGTTTGAAAAATAAATTAAAATAAATAAAAAATGCAATGATGTCTTTGTTTTGCCACTGACATTCCGTATATTCGTATATCAGCTTCCCACAAGTATTGAACTCATCTACATGGCTCGAAGTCCCAGAATTTAGAATCCATTGCAAGGTGACCGTACCTACAGCCGCCACATATTCACCCTATGCGTTTACTTCAGCTAAACTTTCTAATAATAAGGGAAAATGTCTAATAATAAGTATATTGTTTCTTATTAACTAGATTTTCATCCGCGCGATGCGCGGTCTATATTATCGAATAGTTATATAATCTTATTTATGAACGTTATTAGTGCATGTGCAGATTATATTCTGTTTATACGCATGTGATAGATATATGAACAATATACAATAATTATAGAGAAAACTATAGTTATCTCTGACAATAGGTACGATTTATATATTAGGAAAGACAGAAAAACGAAACACATAATAAAGTTCGAAACACTTGTAAGCATTTGAAGCATACAATGAGATCTACAGAGACTAAACATTTCGAAAGACTTCTTTGTAAACAACATTTGTTGTACGATCAGTGCTTTTCCCATCTTCGCCGCAAATCAATATATTCAAACCCTTACGGTTTGTCACTCTAGATACTGCCACGTACAATTGACCATGTGCAAAGACAGGTTTCTTTAATAAGAGTCCAGCATGGGTCAAAGATTGGCCTTGACTCTTATTTATTGTCATCGCATAAGAAGTCATGACAGGAAATTGCCTCATCTGAAACTTGAACGGAATTCTTGCAACTGATGGAGTCTTAAAATAAAATTGTTAACAAAAATTCCAAGATATCAAAACTTATATATATTAATTAACCTGATTACAATTGCAAGATTAAAATTATTAGAGTGAGAAGTGTCATTCGTTTTGTCGACCAAAACATTAGATGAGTTATCACGATGAGGCAAGGGAACTTTGTTAACATTTTGACCAACATTTTCTGTCAACAATGGAAATGTGTAAAATAAGTTCATAATAACATTATATTAATATTTTTTAATGGGAAATAACATTAAATTAAAATGCTAAACCTACAATACTTAATGTCAAGATGTGAAATAAATAAATCTGTGAAATTATTTGGGGAGTATTTAAAACCTTCTGAGTAGAATTTGTATATACCATACATTATAATAATTTGAAATGATTATCGTGCTTACGTTGCGGACCAACAAATTTTTATGTTGACTTAAATTACATGAAAATAATGTTTTTTGATCTATGTTAATACTATAAAAACAAAAGTATTTATTCAAACCCTTTAAAATATTTTTATGGCCCAACTAAATCTGACCAAAGCATTGAATATGTACAAAAGTAAGTAAAATCTATTAAATTTGAGACCCAAATATCTGAAATTTCGGATCCAGCTTAATACCTTCAGCCAGCCTTAATTCTACCCGGCCCATTTAATCGTACCCAGCCCAGTCCAGCCCGTTACTTTTAATCTACCCAGAACAACCCTGAACAACCCTAAGTATAAATACCTCTGCGATCCAACATATTATCTAGCGTACCCTATTATCTTACAGACCATTCAACGTCTAACTCCCTCTGCGATGAACTTACCATCTTCAATGTGATTCAACCTCCCTCTGTAAAACTTCCCCTCTAAACCCATTATTCAGATTGTTCTCACTTCTCTATGCATCGATGGATGGCCTGTCTTCTACGAAGCATATTTCTTGCCACCGATGGATGGTCTGTGTTTCCATCTCATACAATCCGAATGATTGTTATGGACTCCGATTGAGTTGTCGGTATATTTCTTAATTTCTTTGTTTTGAACACACTTGTTCATTATATATTCGATTTTCTGTATTTTGGTTTCCTGTACAAAAAATATTGAAAACATTCAATTATTTCGTGTTTCTAAACTCTGTTTCATGTTGATTTGATAATTTTTTTAAAAAAACTTCCACTGCACGTACAATCCGTAACATATCTTTGTAGATCCATGGATATTGGTTCGTGTTTGTCTGAATCTCCGAGATCTATCATCATTTGGGATTTAGACCTTTTTTAATGCATGATTCTGTGGTTGTACACTTTAATATATCAGTTTTTCATTTTGATTTCGTAGTGACTAAGGGTTATGCTGAGATTTCTTAAAAGTGAAATGTTCGGTCATCCTTTATCACGAAATGGAACTACGTATGTGTCTAAATATATGATTTTTTCGTTTCTA